AAAAATAATAATTTAGTCATTAATTCAGTGACTGTTTGTGAGACGCTGTTGTGTGCAATTGGCTGACGCGTTTCCCCACAGTCACTACACTTAAACAGTATATTCTGTGAAGCGCTTTGAGACGTCTCGAAGACGTGATAAGGTGCTATATCAAAAGCGTGGATTATTATTATTATATAAATGTCCTATGTTTTAATCCACGTTAGGGAGAGAGGTATTACACTACAGGAGTGGAATGTTAAATGGAGAATTCCTCAGTGTGTGACAGTGTCTCACCCAAAGGTCAGAGCCTCCCTGCGAGGGATCTGTCTTTGTGTTGTGAGCTTTGATGAGCCACCGTGGCCTGTGATCTCAGACAGACAGACAGACAGGCAGTTAGCCCTGAACTGGGTCCACAATGTTTCGAGATTCCTCTGGTATGAATCACAGAGTCCAGAGCAAACTGCAGCTTTGAAGTTAAATTTAATCAAAATAGGCTTTGAAAGCAGCTTGAGAATGCAACCATGGGCCTTGCTGATTATAGCTGCCTGGCATCAGAATCAAGAAAAGTAATTCATATTAATTTTCTTTCTTTCGGGAGAACTGACCTTATTACTGTATTTTTAAATAAACTTTTTTTTTTTGCATAGTTTTCTCTAAACATTGCCGTGTAGACAGTCCCCATATTGGAGACTGTCAGACCTCAGGAAGCACCTCGAGACGCACCTCGCTTCTAAACCTCCTGTAACAGCAGCTGTGGAGCTTTCAATAGTTTGGTTTTGAGAATCTCGAGCAGGGTGATTGGCGTGGCAGATATCTGACTGACTATAACAAAGACATAGAGATCTTCATAATACCCTGAGACTCAGGAACTCTCTTCCTCAATCCCTCCGTCTTGTCCCCTCCTTGTTCGTCTTCAGATTACATCTGAAGATCTTCCTCTTCGACCATGCCCCCCTCTCCTCCTGGCTCTGGTTTGTGTTCTGTCACTGTTAAGCGCTCCGAGGCGCTACTCTGCGTAAAGGGCGCTATATAAATGCGAGTTGTTGTTGTTTGAAGTTGCAGCAGTGGAAAAATTTTCCCTCTCAGCACATTTCTCCTATCGTTTGACATCACAAAGTGGAACCAATCTATTTTCTTTGAGCCACAAATTGTTGAGATGACATTTTCTGATTGAAAATCGTATAAATAGAGAGATCAGGCCCCAGATATCCGTTGCTCATGTTGGCTGTGTGATTTTATCTGATCAGCCTTATCTGTGCAGATATTTATTGATGTGTCCCAGACTAAACTGGCAAAAGTGGCTCATTTTCCTTAAACTTGGACCTCTCACAAGATCCACCTTTGAATATTTCCCTAAAATATTTTGCAATAACACTTTTTAGCTTCACCGAGCATTTGATCGAGCATCTCATCTGTCAAATTGCTTATCAAGTCAGTCACTATTCAGGCTGAAAGCAATGAGACTGCTATACTCTGAGCAATGTGGGAGATGGAAAATATGAAATGGTTTTATTTATTTTAATTTCAATGTTATTACAAATGCTGCAGTTGCCATAGTAAGCTTGACATTGATGAATTATTGCACTTGAGATTTGCTTCCATGTTTATGTATATATTTTTTTCTTGCCATTTTCCCCTACCCATTATTTATCGCCTCTCCTGAAGACTCTACTTATTTTTCAACATTGTTATGATTAGGGAATAGGAATTGCCATCACCCAAAACTCACTTGAGTTTGAAGAACTCTATGCACAGTTTATATTATACTTTCTCTGACTTTTGAGTTCTGGCTCCCACCCACAGCCCTGCACATCAATCCTCAAACTCTGCATGACTTACTCACAAAATGACAATTGCTGTTGTATAACCATTCGCTATTACTTTGTGGAGAGTGAGGCAGGATGTTATGCCCTCTGATTCATTCTTTCCTCCTTCCACTTGTTGCCTCACCTTTACTTGGCATCTCACCCAGTTAGTATTTACATGCTCCCACTCGCTGATATCATCCGCAGACATGTGGTCAATTTCCACATGTATGCGGATGACACCCAACTCTCTCTCTCTGCCTCCACTCTTGACTCCAGGACCCGCTGCTGTCAGACACCAAGTCCTGGATGAAAGCCAATTTTCTCCAGTGGAACGTCAACAAGGCCGAGGCTCTCCTGATTGGCTCCCGTCAGCATCTCCTCAGCTCAGGCGCTGACAGCATCACTGTCCATGGTCCCCCTTCACCTTCACTGAGCCGTGGAACCTTGGGGTCCTGTTCAACCCTCAACTGTCTTTTAAACCCCACATCGGTGTCATGACCCGTTCTGCCTTTGCCACCTCCACAACATTACCTGCCTTTCCCCTCAGGCTGCTGAGACCCTCATCCCTGTTTTCATTATGTCCAGTCTTGACTATGTTAATTTCCTGCTCCCAACACAATATTATAATAATAATCCTTGCCTTTGATGCAGCGCCTTATCACGCCTCAAAGAACTTCACAGAATATGCTGTAAAGTGTAGTGACTGTTTGTTTTGTGGGCAAAACATTGTCACTTTGTTTTTTGAAAAAGATCAGAAATAAGAGACTTTGTGGCTTAGAATCGACTCTCTTCCTCCTCCTCGCTCCCTCCCTTCCCTCTCCTCACCCTGACCATTTCCCCCTCCTCTCTCCCTCCCTTCCCTCCCCTCACCCTGACCATTTCCCCCTGCTCGGGTCATGACCCAACTGTGCAGCGCCTTGGGACGTCCTCCTGACGTGAAAGGCGCTCTATAAATGGAATCTTGTTGTTGTTGTTGTTGTTAGAATGGAAGGGAGGGAGGGAGGGAGCGAGCGAGCGGATACTGTTCAAAGAGAGTGCTCAGGAATCAATACAACTGACTGACTAGCTGACTGATGTCATTAATACTCACAGCTTCTCAACCAAGGCACGAACATACAGGTCAGGACACATTACACAGCAATTACATTCACTCAGTGTTGCAATGATTTTCATTGTAATCACACAGGCGTTCCAGGTATACCTGTGTTACAGTCGGGAGCCATGAGCCGATAGCTCTGTTGGTGAGTGGAAGAATTTAGCAAATGTGAGATTTAGGGATTATCCTCTCTGTGTGAGCCCTGAATCTACGTCAAACTGAATAACTGGTCACTAAGTCAAGTGTGTTCTGATGTCTCTAGATTTTGCATTAGCTTTCCCCCCAAAAAAGGAGAGGAGGGCTGGGGCGGTGGTTGTGTGGGGGGGAATGGGTGGGGATAGGGTGGGGGGGATGTAGTGGGGCGGTTGGTGGGGGTGGGGGGTGTCTGCCTCAAGGGTTTATAAAGGAATTTACAAACATGTTAAAGGTTTATCAACCAATGGTGTTACTGTAGATGTGTTGTCGTATGAAGATTGTCAAGGGAATTCGAGTTTAGTTCTCTACCCCACCCCTTCCCATGGTCCTCCCCATGAGCAATACTCTCTCCTCAAGCTACATGCTTCCACACATATTCTCGGGTAAAATAAACATTGCTAAGGCATGCAAGTGCTTGTCGTTTTGTTTCCTGAGGTAAGTCTGTGTTTCCGTAAGACAAATGCTGTTTCTGAAACTGATGGGAAACAAGCTGATTTAAGCATATTAACTCAAAATACTGGCTTGAGCTTTAGTGTGGAATAAGTGAATTATTTTGAACATTGAAACAGGAAATGCGCACACGATAAAGGCCTTTTTGTTTGAGATTCTGGGAAGGGAGAGGATTTTGGCTGTGATTGTTGGCCATTCAGTACAAGTATGCAGTCAACAAAACTAACCCAAGTACTGGGATCCATCTCAGACATTTCATTTCATTTCAAAACAAGTCATCTCGACCTATACTGTCAATAGATCAACTTTAGCAAGGCCATATTTGGAGATCTGTGTGCAGCTTTGCTTCAAAAGGACATGAGCGAATCAGAGAAGGTCCACAGAAGAAAGACTTAATGATTTCAGGATGTAATACTCTGTTGTGAAGACAGACAGATTTGTAAATTTATCTTCACTAGCGATCAAGAAAGAACATAAGAACAAGGAGCAGGAGTAGGCCATTCGGCCCCTCGAGCCTGCTCCGCCATTCAATAAGATGATGGCTGATCTAATCTAACTCCACTCCCACCTTATCCCCATATCCCTTAATCCCTTTATCCACAAGAAATCTATCAATCTCAGTCTTGAATATGTTCAAGGACTGAACATCTACAGCCCTTTGGGGTAGAGAATTCCATAAATTCGCTATCCTCTGAGTGAAGAAGTTTTTCCTCAACTCAGTGGGAAAGGGCTTACCCCTAATTTTAAGACTGTGACCCCTGGTTATAGTTTTTTCAACCAGGGAAAAAGTCTCCCACTATCTATTCTGTCGTGCCCCTTAATAATCTTATAGGTTTCTTAAATAAGGAGACCAAAATCGTACACAATACTCTCGGTGCGGTCTCACCAGGGCCCTATACAGTTGCAGCAAGACTTACCTACTCTTATATTCTAACCCTTTTGTAACAAATGACAACGTACCGTTAGCTTCCTAATTGCTGCTGTACCTGCAAACTAATTTTTTGTGACTGGTGTACAAGGACACCCAAGTCCCTCTGATCCAATAATAATAATGGAGTCCTGTAGCTCAGTGGTTAGAGCACTCGCCTTGCAAGCAAGCACCTGGGTTCAATTCCCGGCAGGGAGAAACCTTGGGCAAGTTTCCTTACTCCACACAGAGCCTAATAATAATCCCTCCAAAACAAAACAATAATAAATTGGTAATTTTTAATCCACGACTGTTTGCGAGATACTGCTGTGCGCAATTGGCTGCCACGTTTCGCCCACAAATATACAGTCAATTCACTTTACAGTATATTCTGTGAAGCGCTTTGAGATGACGAGAACACGTGAAAAGCGCTATATCAAATGTAAGGATTATTATTATTATTGTCATTATTAATATTATTATTATTGCGTTGGTTATTCCAACAGTTCAATGTTCACTTTGTGATGTATGTGGTTTTCTTACGAATGTCCTTGTTTTTCAGCTGTGTGTGCACTATATCAGCAGCACTCTGTCAGTGCAATCAGTCTGTGAAGCATTGCAGGTAAGCACAGCATAGCACAGCACAACACAGCACAGCACAACACAACACAGCATAACACAGCACAGCACAACACAGCACAGCATAAGTGGTGAGCCGGATGATATCCATCCTCGCTCTAAGCTGTTAGCAGGACCACACTCTCCGGTGCCCTGACTCGATGTCGCGCTCTCCCACTGTCGAGGACTCTGGGCCGCTACCCTGTCTGAGGGGCGCTGTGTAAATGCAAGTTTACGTGGCTGTGGCAGGAGAGCAATGGTTTATTTGGTTATGTCTGGGGAGCAGGATTTTATTAAGCTCCCATAGCATCTTTAAATAGACCATTCACCACTTGTACCTAGTGCTTTATGCAGAAATAACAAACCGTCAGCGGTAGGAAAACATTTCAGTAGAGAATCCAGTCTTCTACATGGCAATGCATCAAAACTCTGAACGTAAATATGACAAAACCCCAGAGCTTGCTGCTGTGCCTTTATATGTAGTGGATCTCACAACATCAAAGGGAAGCTCCAATAATTTTACCAAATATTGGCTCTCCTTGAATTCTGCTCACTTACAAATATTCTGGCCTGATTTATCACAATCCTAAAGTGAAAACTGTAATAAGTACTGACTTTTTAATTGTACTTTCGCTCTGCGTGCTTAGCCCTGCTGATAGCATATACCAGATTGACTGTTGTATTTAATGTCTGGAGGGGAAGAATGAGAGTGAGTGCAGAATATTTATAATAATTATAATAACAATAATAATCATCCTTGTATTTGCTATCGCGCCTTATCGGGTTGTTGAAACGTCTCAAAGCACTTCACAGGATAAGCTTTAAAGTGAATTAGCCTCGTGAATAAGACCAATGAACAAGGAGAGTATTTCCCTGAATTGGCACGTTCCCTTTGTGACCAAGATTTTCTTTATTTTCTTTAAAGTACTCGGAGACGCTATCCTGCATGGAGGGCACGACCTAAGTGCAGGTTGTCGTTGTTGTTGTCAACAATAGGCGAGCAGAGCTTTTATGTTTAATCTGCTCTCCCTACAATATCAGCACAGATTTCTGCTTCACTGAGAGTCGGTGTTGGCACTGTGTGTGGAGTCAGTGCAGTTGCTAACATACAGTGTCCATGACATGGCAATTCAGTGCCGTACTGTAACGAGGCGGTGTTTTCCAACACCCTTGGGCTCAGTACCACTCCCCACTCTGCATTTACCCAGTGAACCAGCCATCAGGAGAGAGTGCTCAGTAATTTTAACCAGAATTAGTGATGATTGACTGAAAAATGTCTCTAACTGCATCAATGTCTCCTTTTATAGCAATAGAGGATTATGTGGTCATCCAGATGAATATATTTCCTCCTCAGATAGTTACCAATAAATATTTGTGGTCCCACACAGAGTAAATGTGCAATTAACAAGTCAGTGTTTATCACTAATGAGCCTGTGCTCATTTAGGTCTGTAGGAATTCAAAGTCTGAGAATAGCTCTGTGCTTCCAAGATGTTAGAAAAAATATTTTTTAAAAAAATCATATTTTTGGTTTAACTTGATGTTGTGCTTGCCTGAAGCTGGTCACTGGTGAAATTTGTTAAAATGTAATTACAGACGTAATGAATATAATTTTTTTTATGATCGCAGGAGTATTTATGCTTTTTAACCTCTTCGTGCAATAAGATTTAATTTTCACTCCGCTGCTTCCTCAGATAATCCCAAGCAGTTTGTCTCTGAAACTTCATCACAGGGGGAACTGTGCCCAAATATTTAGGTTTAAAGCAAAGCCACACCCAATGGTCCCCCTCTAAACACCCCAAAGCAAGATTGGTACACCCTGCTAAATGTTATTTATACAGTAATTCCACGAGTCACAACTTCGGGTTATTTGTATCTTCAGTTGAACATTAAACCAGCAGTGGTCAAACTGTGGCCCGGGGGCCAGAAGCGGCCCTCAGGGTTGCCCAGAGCACCCCCTCCGTGCCCCAGCCCCCACTCACCCTCCCCCGAACAGTCACACAAGTCCAGTTAAGTCCGTGTTCGATTGGTAACGTGTTTCCAGTTTTTTCTTGAGTTGATTTATGGCAAAATCAAAAAAATACTGAATCAGGAACATTGATTTTGTTGGTGGATTATAAAGGTTGGCCCCCACTGATTTACACCTGGCATGAGCTGGGCACATTTCCTGTTGTGAGTCATCATCACACAGAGCGTAGAGGGGAAATAATGTACATGTGCGTGTGTTCACAACTTTATATAATAATAATACTTGCATTTGATATAGCGCTTTATCCTGTCTCAAAGCGCTTCACGGGATATAATTAATGGCAGGTATAATGGTGGACTGTCAGTCTATTGGTAAGTGCACCTCGGGAAGTTCCCACGAATTTTTGTTTAATGTAAATCATTCTAGTTACAGAGTTCTTCTGTGGGGTCCTCTGACTGAGTACCAGTGTCTTGTTTGAGGTGGAGTGAGGACATCCTTTCATTGGCCTACTTTTGATTAGCACAATTAGAGTCTGCCTGAAAACTTCCCTTTATTTCCCAGTTCCTTGTTGTATCTGTTGCGTTTTCTCAAATTCTCAGCAAACTGAATAAATCACTTCATTCCCCAAAAATGCTGTAATTTAATAAGTGGTTCCAGTTGTCTTGGTTTTCCTTTGACCCGAAACAGCAACTCTAAAAATAAGGGGAATTGTGGTAAGTATCCAAACAAGCAAACAGTGAAATGCTTTCATGAAGTTAGGGACAGGATGCCATTCAGATGATTGGCTGCAACAAACCAATTAAGCCCTGGCTTTTGCTCTCATTCCATACACTGGTGTAAAGGGAGATTTAAAGCTCCAGAATATCTCTATTTCTACAGTATCCATCTCCCTGGACCCATTTTCTCAATTTCTCAGCACAGGAAACCGTAAACTGAATTAATCCTCCATTTTCTGCAGTGGGAGCCTCACTGTGTTTGTTATTCCCTGAAAATCCATTAAAATCTCGGGAGATTTGTGTGTTTTTTAAAGTTAACTTGTTTCTTCCACAATGTACAGAGAATCCAGCTCTTCCTAGAACCCCAGTTCCGCCTGTGATGAAGTTTCTCTAACCGGAAGGAACTTGGGGTAAATGCCACCTCTCATGACACCAATCTAAAGCCTTGCTCAGGACAACTACAACAACACATGACATTTACACAGTGCTCGGCTTTCACGTCAGGAGGACGTTTCAATACGCTGCACAGTCAGGGATTTGGACCCGAGCTGGGGGTTGAGATCTGGAGGGGTGGAGGGCAGGGAGGAGTGGAGGGCAAGGAGGGGTGGAGGGCAGGGAGGGGTGGAGGGCAGGGAGGGGTGGAGGGCAGGGAGGGAAGGGGAAGGAGGGTGGTCAAAGGTGCAGTTGAAGAGTAGGGTCATGAGAAGGGCCTTGAAGGAGACGAGGGAGAGAGCAAGACGAAGGGACTGCGGGCTAGAGTTCCAAAGGGTGAGAGCAAATTGGAGCAGAGAACAGTCAGACCCTGGGGATTAGGGAGACCACACATAGGAGTCCCAGGTCTAAGATGCAATTGTGATGATTTAGAACAACATTGTAAAATTGGGCTGTAGGTTCCTGTTAAGAGTTGCTACGTTTCTTCAGTCTGTGTTTACAGTCCCTGTGTTTGTAGTGACGGTGAACTGGTGAGAGAAAACTGCTCGACCCTCTCTGTGTAAGAGAAACCCATTCATTTTGAAACTTGCTTTGCTGTGCAGCTCGAGTGATTAAAATTTACTTCTGCCGGCAGAGATAACAGTGAAGTATTGTCCTATCGTATAAATAGAAACTGCTCAGTGCATGGAGTTTCCTTTAATAGTTTCCAGTGATTGGAGCTACAAACCGCAGTCAAGCCAGTCTTTCTCTCCTCACTCTTCATATGCATTTCGAGCCCTGCGGTTAAATGGCTCAGGAATGAATGTCACTCACATGCTTGTTTTATAAACCCATAAAAGGATGATGCACGAAAATGACCCACAGAGCACTTTACCCGTGACTTTGACTGACTTGTACTGACTTGCTTTGTACCAGGAATTAAAAATGCAAACTTAGGGAAAAGGGAATTGAGTGGTGTTGTGGGTTAACAGGTTTCCTTATCTCACTGACACTAGATGTTGATGTAGAGCCTAATAATGGAATGACTCTGTGGGGCCAGGTATACCGGGAATCTTAATTCAGCTCCTGGGGTAAGTGACTGCACAGCACAAAACTGCACTTAGTTCAGCACAAGCTGAAGCAATCCTGAGGTACTTGGAATAGAGTAGAATTCAAGATCCTCATCCTCACCTACAAGGCCATTCCCGGCCTCGCTCCCTCCTACCTCTCCGACCTACTATCCCCCTACTTACCTGCCCATACCCTCCGTTCCTCTGGCTCCGGTCTGCTCCACATCCTCCGCCCCAACCGCCCCACCATCGGTGGCCTTCAGCCTCTCAGCCCCGAGGCTCTGGAACTCCATCCCCAGTGCCTTCGCCGCTTCCTCCGTTTCCTCCTTCAAGGCCGGTCTCAAGACCTTTCTCTTTGACCTTCAGCCTTCAGCTCCGCTCTCGCCTCTCTACCCCCTCCTCACCCCCTCCCTTCCCTCCCCTCATCCTGACCATTTCCCCCCAATGCTCGGGTCCTGACCCAACTGTCCAGCACCTTGGGACGTCCTCCCGACGCGAAAGGCGCTGTATAAATGGAATCTTGTTGTTACACTCCGCCGTGTGTGAAGCCGCTGTGTAAACACAGGTTGTTGTTGAAAGAAAAAATATAATTCTTTGAATTTTAAGAAAATTTGATGCATCTCAAACAAACACCAGATTGGATTTATATGGTGGCTTTCACTTGGGGAGGATGGACTTCTCAAGAATAGACACAACACCCAAGTATGGTACAAGAATTGTACGAAAATTGGGAGTTAAAGAGGGTGGTTTATGTCCTTTCAAACAAATGGGGGGGAAGGGATGGGTTTTGATTCATTTCTACTTTTTTATATTAAAAGCAAACAATTCTGAGTGCTTTCC